ACAGCAAGAGAGGGTGCATGACAGGTTATGGCTGAGGTTGGTGGTCAGTGTGGAATAGTGTGACACACTGATCTGCCTACAAGATGTTGTTTTTACATCCGCTGCCGCTCAGAATTAGAGGCAGATTTGCATGCATCTTTAAAGTGTGCACACGCAGGATTAAGAGATGGTGACAGCACAGCACCGGCATGAAGGAGTGTAATCACTAAAACATGAGCCGGAAGACGAGGACTGCACAAATAATTTAAAAGCATGTCATAAGCACAATGTTGCCTCTTTTTTTTTTTTTTTTGCTTGTAAGAAAAAGGTGTTCTGTACTTTGCGGAATCCCTGGCCACAAAATGAAGTTGCAAGATGGAGTAAACATTTTTTTAATTTCACCACAGAGGAAATGTAATGCGTTATCTCTCCTCCTCCTCCTCCTCCACGCCCTGACAGCAGAGAAAAGTGAAATGAAATCTTGTTGGATACGCAGTCCGTGCAATTATGTCCCCAATCATTAGCATCACTGAGATTATATTAAGTCGTTTGTTCATTTTAGAACAACTACAAAGGTCTCAAGAAGTTTGAGGTTACAACATAATATGTAATTGGTAAAATGTTGAGGAACTGGCTGATTGGTGAGGCTCAATTTTACTGCATCCTGAAGGAAAAAACATACTTTATACTTAACTTTATTTATCTCAGAACCTAAAAGCTATAACACACACTTTAAACAAGCTAACGTAATATGGAGTAGCAAGACCTCTTACATCAAAGTACAGCTAACGTTAGCTGCATTTTTATGCTTCTGTGTTGCATTCTGTTTTCAGGTTGTCTTTCAGCCTTTACAAAACTTCTTCAAATTTGGCACAAACATCCACTTGCCCTCAAGGATGAACTGTAATGAACCGTAATTCTAGTTCAGCCACTTGAGAGCAGAAGAGACACGCTAACAGAAACACAGTGAGGTTGTTGCTGCTAAAGTGTTAGCTTATTTACACATCCAGCAAGCACGGACCAACGTTAGCATTCACTCAGTGCCGTTTTTGACTTCACTAATATAAGTCTCACTCTTCTGTTAGCTCTCTTTGGAGGCTTTTTACGTGCTTTTACGCTGTGTAAATGTGTTTAAGCTAGTTTAATACATGCGTGACACCGTTCTTGTGTGTAGCCTTGGTCTCTACTCCAAAAGTCTGCTTAATTGGACCATACTGCTAGCTAGCTAACTAGCCAGCAGCAAAGAAAAACACAGTAAATGTTTCCTTATGCTCCTGCCAACAACTACTACCACAGTATTTATTTTTATTTTTTTCCCGTTATACTATCCCATCTGGAGCCCAGTCGTTTTCATCGCTTGGAGCCATACATTAAACGTCTCGCACGTTCAAGCTGTGCATGCCTTTAGCAGCCTGGTTGGTGTTGAACGCTGCTCTATCACCCCTGATATCCTCCCTCTGTGTTTGGCTGTTATCATGCAGCACCAGCCTGGCGCTAGTTGGCCCAGCTTCACAGTCCTCTGCTGAACAGCAGGGCTCCACCGCCACAGCTACAACACCTACAGAATAAACAGATATACAGTAACGCATAAGAGCGCTCAAAGGATATTCATGTTGAATAAATGCATGCCCTGTTATAGCTTTTAAGAAGCGTTTGCTTGCTGCTGCATTGCGTTGCCGTCCTACATAGTTTAAGGTTTTGCATTGAGTGTGTCGTTGGTAGACAGAAGGCCGTGACCTGATCTGAATTGCTCTTTGGAGGTTTATTTGGTTACATTTACAGGATTTGTTGAACTTGCCTGTCATACGGGAACAATTGGATTGGATAGTGCAAAGCCAGGTTATCTGCAGTGCGTGTTCATGTAGAAATACCATCTAAATGTCACAATCGCTCAGTTAATTCTCTAATGAAACAATATTTCATTAAATCTGAAACTGAAATGTCATACAGGCTTGTATTCTTTCACTTTTGATTTGATCAAGTCTTGATTAATTGCAGGTTTTATGGTATTTGGTTTTGAAGTTATTCCAAACGATGCTCCGGCATTTTATTTATTTATTTTTCTAGCTTTGTCTACTGTACAGGCCCTTCTCTGGAGGCCTATACAGTAGATAAAGAGAAACCTCATTTAAACGCAGTGGCGGGCCGTGCATTTTATACCTAGGCCTTCACTGTTGTCCTGCAGCTGAAATACCACCTTATAACCACATGATGGCGCCACAGTTATTAGTTTCTAAGGCTGTAACTATGTACGTATTAAATGTACGTACCTATGTACATACCATTCGGTACGAGACTTACAATACATTTGATTAGTACTAGAGCATTTGGAAAAATGCAGAAGCTTATATTCAGGAAAACATAATGTTTTCTGCGCTCATGGAGGACAGTGGTTCTCAGCTGGTCTGGCTGTGGGACCCACCATCATTCCTTAATGACAAGTCACGGCCCACAGAGATTGTCTTATGATTTTACTTTCACAACTTGAACATTGTACGTACTGCTCTGCAGTGTCTTTCCTCGTCTCAGTCCCCTGTGTCACGGTGTGTGGTACATCTCGCTCAGTCAGAATGCCCATATTTGATTGGCTGAGCTGCATCACGTGATGTGATTCACTACCCGACTAAGCCTCTGCTGTTAAGTTTCGTTTCACGATAGTCACGTGCTCGCCCACTGACCAATCACAGCACACTCTGCACCTCGCGGCAGAGCTGTACATGGAAACTGAGCTGCACGTAATGCTGACGTCATTATAGGACGGCCCGCAGGCGCTGACACGTCAAAGAATACGCCCAACATGTCAAATTAAAGATCTGATTGGTTGAAAAATATGACAATCAACAATATCATCAACAATATCATCCCCATTCACTGGATGCACTTGTGAGTCTGCAGGCATCGGGCCTCTGTTCTTACCTAGAGACACAGAGGTGAGATCTGATTGGATAAAAGCTCTACTTAAAACAAGCTGCACTGGAAGCAGAGCAACTGAGGAAGACAGTAGCTGTGCAATGAGAAAATAAGATAATGGGAAAAATATTTATATAAATTATAATACATGTAGTGTATTTAAGAAAAATTATAAAATAGATATAGCTTTGTGATTCTGTTTAGGCCAGCAGAGAAGGCCCAGGCCCTGATGGCCCACCACTGTTTAAACGTGATTAAACAAATCGGCTCTATTGCATTTTGAGGATTGCGGAAATCTCATTTACGTTGCAGCAGAGAAGAAACAGCTTTCGCTCTCAGCCGTGATTAGATTTCCGTGATAAATTTCGGATAAATTTCGGAGTCCTCTGCTCACACATTAAACCAGCAGCTACTCGGGCACTTGTTCATATCATTTGTACCATAAAGATATGTTGAATGGGCTTTTTCTTTTGGCAGAGAAGAAATTAGAGGAAGAGATGTCAGCTGTAGTTGAAGTAGTACCCGAGGTGATCAACGCTTTGTGGCCTCTGGATGGTATCGTGGTTGGATTAGTATTGGCTGTGTTGCTTATTACAGGAAGCCGGTGTTGTTGTGCTCAGAATCACTATCTCATCATTTCCTCAGAGAAAGAACACACACGAGAGGTGTTGAGGCAGAGAGTTTTAATCATTCATCAGTGTCCAGTTTCCCACCCAGCCCATTACTACCGCGTGGAAAATACTATAACCACCATCACCCTTTTCTCACACAGCCTCCTCCCTCCCGACCCTGAAGTTAAAGGCGTCTACAAGAAGCTGAATGAAGTCCAACTCGTGTGCGGTTCAGATGGCCTATTTGTGGCAGTGACATATAGTGGAAGGGGATTGTGGGAGGTGTGTGAACATTCGCAGCTTAAGTGTGAAGTTAGTTAAAAATGTTCACAATAATAGTTTTTTTTCTTCCTTTTGTTAACTAGATACAGCTTTAAAAAAAAAAAAGGATTTGTAGATAATTAATTCGTCCAGTGCTGGAGGAATGAGGAGAAAAGAAAAATGTGATTACTTGCAAGTACAAAAGAGTATAGAAGTGTCTCACAGCTTACTAACCAACCGGAAATTTAATCCACAATTTGTGTGTCATGAATGTTTCAAACACTATCAAACAAAGTCTCTAATACCAACATGAATAAAGTCAATACTGAAAGGAATTTACTTCATTACCACAGTCACTAAGAACTCCAATGATTCACTATCACACCTCACAGAAGGTCAGATTTGAAACAGTAGAGGCTGAGATATTCTGACTTCTTGTCCCCAGACTGGATCGTACATTTCACATGATGCTACCAAACGCATGCATTACACAACTCATATTTACCAGCGTCTGAAAAGTGAAGCCAATGCGGAAGCGCTTTAACCTTGCATTCTTTCTAATGGCCAACAGGGGGCGACTCCTCGACTTGCAAAAATATATCTTATTATATGTAAGTGTATGAGACGATGACCACTGGATTTATGACCACCATGTTTTTGTCTCAGAGCTTTAACCCTTCAACGGTGCGTTTTCAGTTCACTACAGTGAATTGTAACCGCTTTGGTTCCCTTAAAATGTCTCGGTCAGTGTTCGGTGGTCACTTCTTTCTGCAAAAAAACTAAATGGTGAACTCGAGGCTGCAAAGCAACAATCCACAAACCAATGGGTGGAGATGTCCACTTCTTATATACAGTCTATGATATTTACTCAAAATCATTGCCATGTTGCTTGTTTGTGGGACAACACTTCTGTATTTTTGGATGTAATGAATGTTGCATCCTCTCGGGACCACTAGCTACACTTTTAGTTTGTTTTCCCCCCAAAAGTCCCCCTGGAATGAAACTCTTCAACTGTGATGTGTCTGAAAAAGTTATTTTTCCCCTCAACGAGGAACAACATTACTGATTCATATCTCTTTTGTTTTTTTTACAACAGCTTTACTTTATTTTTCACAGGATCTGTGCACATCAATTAATGTCTCTGTTATTCTGCCAGTATTGGCCGGCTGGTTGAGAACTGTACTCCCTTGAGGAGGTAGTTGTTATCCATAATATCCATTTCTGTTGTCTCATTTGTGATTTTACCTGTATTTAGACTTCGACTGGAGCTACTTCTGGTTGTGGAGTCGCTTCTTGGACTACATGCAGTGCGTGCTGGCCTTCACGCTGATGGCGGCCTACATCACCTACCTCTTCCTGGACTCGGCGCTGTTCGTGGAGACCCTGGGCTTCCTGGCCGTCTTCACCGAAGCAATGCTGGGCACCCCGCAGCTCTACTGCAATTATCAGAACAAGTCCACAGAGGGCATGAGGTACGGACTCAATACTGATTAGAAAAGTCAATACTTCCGAGCTCAACGGACACTAACTGGGCAGGGAAGTGAATATTATATTTCTCACATCTATGAATTATGAAAAAGCATAAATTACAAGCACATGAAACATGAATTTCATCAAGGACGTATTCTGATTTGGCTTTAGCAGTTGAGCTGAGGTTCAACCAAAGGCTGCTCCAAATTGTCAGCGTCTCACAGTGCGACACAGGAACACCTTTAAAAAAAAAAAAAGTCTCTTTTTCTCTCATGATTGTCAACTCTCATCTCGGAGAGCTCAAAACAGAGCTCAGTGTAAAAACACACTTTGACTGCTGAAAAGTCTTTTTGGGCTGTGAGTATAATTTAACAGTCAGGATTTAAATCAAAACAAAGCATGTTGCGTCCTTGATTAATGATAATGTCTCTTTATCCTGAAGAGTGCTGTTTTATTTATGAGTGCCACTTCCGTCACAGGCGTCTCTGAGGCTGTGTTGTACTGGAAGCGCACGCTCGTGAGCAATGCCTCCAGATTATGTTGTCTCACATACGATTATTAACACCGACAGATGCTTATTAAGTATTTCTGGCACCTGTCGAACAAGAAGCGAAGACGGGGCTCCTGACAGCTATTTATTATGTTGACATGACAATTAACCCTCTGAAAATCAATATGATAATGAGGTATTCTGTCTCGCCCTTATCTACGGGCAAGATCATTTTAGCTCATTAATGTTGATTTGCATCAAATCTCGGGGGTGTAATTAGGGGGCGTTGACGTAGATTCAATTTTTGAAAGCATATACAGTTTGTAGCCAAGCTCTAAAAACTGCTTCTCAAAATAGTTGTCACAGGATTGTACGGAGGACACGAATATTTATGGCAGCACTGCCATCCACAGGCAGAGTCAGTGCCGGAGTTTACCAGGTTTTTTAATCAAACAAACCACAAGTAACGCAAGCAAAACAGAAAACCTTGCTCAGTCAAGAGCTCTATCACAAGAAAAATAAGCTACATCAGCTGGGCTGCTCGCCGACTTACTATATCTCAACTATCTCCCCCCCTGGAGATCCTGGGGAGATCTCCTCTTCTCAGCACGTTCTCTCTGATCAGCTTCGCTGCTTGACATTTGTTCACCTCCCTGATGAGGAGATCAGCTCCAGGTGAGTCTCTTCTCCCACACCTGATCCCAATGCTCTCCTGAGGGAGTGGGTGGAGCCCAGTCAATGAAAAAAGCTACGAGACACAAATGGATCAACAGAGAACCCAACATGCAGGGTCAAAGAAATATCATGAAGACAAATGTTGAAGTTGTAAAAAAAAGATGAAACTGACAATATATTTAAAGACTTGTGAGTCCACACACAGTCCTGATTAAAAGCTTTCTGGCTGTGCATGTCCTGCCTCAGAGCAGTGCCCCCCTCTCTCTCTGCTGGTTGGCTTTCTGCAGCAGACAGATAACGGCGCTCCAGCAGAGCTGCCTGTCCACTTAACCGGCCGTGACAGCTCCCACGCTGGGCTCTCCATTCCCTCTCTGTCCCATGCCTTATTTATTTTAGATTTCTGTGTTCTTCCTTCCCCACCCGACACTGTCTACAGTACGGCCGTACGGGAGCAGTTCACCCTTAGTCACTCTTATAAGTCCGATGGATTTCATGATTTTGTTTTGTGATTAGTGTATCTGACTTCAGACATTATAGCCCTAGAATGCATTTCAACAAACCCCCAGACAATGGTTGCAAACATGCTGGTTGAGCATAACGTTGTCTATAAACATACCCTATACTCAAAACGCAACTTTCTTTTGCGGTTGCAGTGCATTCTGGTCTATTCAGCTGCTGTGCATGCCACTTCCACGATCGATCTCTTCCCGTCTGATTGTTGAAGCTTGTAGAAAAAAAGCACTTCAATTCTGAAGTCCTTTCAACAAAAGCTAATAATTGCTATTGATGTTTTAGAAAGAGCCCGACAATGTTCTGCTGTCAAACCCAAGCGTAGGAAGTGTCCTGTCGTCTATATTTGACCAGTAACCCATGAGGATAAACTATTGCCCAATAGCAGTTTCCCGTCGTGCACAGTATTTTTGTGTTTTTTAACTCCTAAACACTTTTAGCTGCTTTGGTGCAGTTTTCACAACAAGGTTTCCACGTGAAAAAGTCTTTAAAACTACAGCGAACACTCCTTTAGCAGCCATTTTGTCAGAAATACAACAGAAGAGCAGCCGGTGTTATTGGTTACGGTGCAGCCCAACAAACTCACATTGTTTCAAGAAAGTGCTCCGTCAATAATAATGGAAATGGCGCAAGTATGTTTTACCTAATGTGATATAGACATTTTGATTTCATGAGCTATGTGGGGTTTTAAGGCTAAATATATTATTTTGTATTTTTCTAATAGTAACTTGTAAAATGTAGCCAAATAAATTCTAAAATAATACAATACCCCGGATGTATATGACCTATGGAGTCTCCAGCCTTCTCTGCTCGTCTGTTCTTTTGTCCTAACCTGCAACATGTTGTGCCAGCCAGCAGCCGGTGCAGTAAAAGCTGTCGCAGGAGGCCGAGGACGTCGTCATTTCTAGTTCTGTTTACTGTTTGTGTCCTCTCGTCCCTCTGTTCACAACCTGTTGAGTCTGGAAGGCTGTTGCTAGGTTACTTTACCTCCTCACTCCGTTCAAGGTTTCTGTGTGTGTGTGTGGGTGTGTGTGTGTGTGTGTGTCTGCAGGAAGAGCAAGCTAAAACCTCTAAAGTGTGGATGTCTTGCTTTCGAAGTGCAATTTTTAAAAGCAAAACAAAAAAGCGTTTTGACGTAGGTGTGGGGTCAGGTTTGTGTTCCTGGTGTTGGACCGTTTACAGTGAGCGTTGGGGATTTAATGAACGTGTGTTTGTGAGGACGAAGAAGCACACGTGCATTTTGCGAAGACAAAAACAAACAGACGGGAGAAGTAAAGCAGAGTGCTCTTTACCGTGAGTGCGTGGAACAAAAAAACACAACAATAAGTGTATGTTCGAAATCACATAAGGTACTGCATACTACAAACTCAGTCTGTGTGTACTGCATGCTGCCTCCTAAGTAATGATTTAGAGCGCTATTACCAGCAGACTGTTCTCACTGAAGTAAACTCTTCTCTGCATCACATCACGGCATCAATCAGGACGTCACCGGTCCGAGTTACAGTGGAAAGAAATTTGTTTAACACAAATGTGAACATTACCAATTTAATATTTTAAGGGAAATAAAAATGAGTAAATATTTTAGCGTTAAGTATGTTTTCTACAGTACATTATAAATGTCACCCCCCGCGGTTTTCCTCATAACTGGACCCTAACATCACCGTCATTATTTTTATTCAACCAGCTAAACATTTTTAACCGTCTTCCTTGCAGTCCGCCATAGGACAGTCTGAAGAGCCGCAATGCATTCTGGGGCGGTTAAGTATGTCCGAATCATACTCAAGAAATTCTTGCAAATCTGCATCAGAGCATTTCTCGTGTCCACAATATCCACACACTGCAGTTTATTATGAATGGTGGGTAAATACGCAATTTCGAAACACAGCCTCAGATCCCATGCAAGCACGTACGTGTGGAGAAAACCTCCTCCCTCAAGCCCCCGCTCCGACTGGAGACACATTTATAACAAATGTCAAAACTACTTCCAGTGCTCGCGGTAGGAATCTTCACCACCGTATACACCCTCCCAAGTAGGCAGGGGATGCAGCCACAGCAGGGCAAAAGTTGGCAGTAGAGTGAGTCATATTGGATGTCCTCAGTATGTATACACACCAGCATTGATCCATTGAAATATGGATGGAGTTCGGGGGCAGGGTGAGGAGTCCTGCGTTGGAGGCGTTAGTCCCTTGAGGACGTAGCTGAAGGTACTTGGTGTTCGTCCGATGCTAATTGACCCCCAGGTTCTCCGTTAGCCTCACTGATGCTGTTTGACACCGCTAACGGCTCTGATACCATAATGGGCCCTTAGAGGTTTGCTTCACTGTGATGATAGCGCTATTCTCTATCCTGTCAAACTCTTTATTCTACTATACGACACCCAGTGTCCCTTTACAGGGGCAGATTTACCACGCTAAAGTCTCAGTCATTTTTAAAACAACGAGACAAAAGCAGGCTCGGTCATTGCTAATTAACAACCGTGAACTTTGCCAACTTGACACCATCTCACCAAGCGATGATATGACGACGTAAAAGACATACAAATAAATGCAACACTGTATGCACTGTTCAACAATAACATATTGTGGTATGAATGAAATATACCTTTTGTGTAAGTGCTGAAGCAAATGACACCATTATCAAAACGACCGGTAGCTACTTTCACACTGATAACAGTTAAAGAAAATGTCGTGAATGTACTCCTCCGGTCTCAGCTTGTGTGTGTAATCTCTTTGGCTCTGAATAACCTTTTTTTTTTGTTCATTGTTTATTCTCTCCTTCCACCAGTTGTCAAAATTTTCCCCATATTTGAACTGAAAAACAGCGACCTTCTTCTTTGTGCCTTTTTAAAAAGCGAGCCAGCTTTTTAGTTTTGCGCACTGCCCGAGGGCCCTGTAGACGCTGGTTATCACACTGCACTCTGATGCAGTTATCAAACCCAAGCAGCTCACTCACTTACACTCACGGGCAACACAGACCTCTCGTTTTACAGCTCATCCAAACCTCTTGAGACATGGAGAAAAGGCCACAGTGGAAGAAGGGTCATGATCCATTGAATTGATGACACAAACGTCCAACAGAGAAGGCAAACTAAGTGTCCCTGCTGCTGGCTGTGATATCACCAATCTCTGATTTCTAGTTCTATTTTTATCTTCTTTTCAGTGTAAATCAACATACTTTAGAAATTGTGTTTTGAACTAGTTGAAATTGGACTTGGAACCGAGCGGAACTATCTCAGCCAGTGCAACTGTAAATACTCGAAGACAGATATTTTATGGGGGACGTTAGGCCACGTGAAGTGTGTTTGTGTGTTTGTGTGTGGGGGATGAC